ATTATTTTTTGTAATGATATCAATAAATATTCGAAATATTCGAAATCCAGTCATTTTATTGATATTTGTGTTGATTATAATTCATTAAAAGAATCTATTGAACGTATTTTCTTACCATTAACACATGATTTAGATGAGAATCGTCAATTTAATACAATTCGTTTTTTAAAAACAAAATCTTCTTATAATACAAATGCAGTTTATTCTTATATGTTATTTGTTGAAATATTAAAAGAAGTTCCACAAACAGATCAAGCTAAAGATTATATGTTAAATAAAATCAAAGATTGGAATCGTTTTAATCCAACACAACTTGAATATATTGAAACATTTCGAAATACTTATAAACCAAATCAAGCTATTAAATGGTATACAGAACAATCATTTATGTATATTTATGTTAATCGAGCATTTCGAACAGAAAATGTTTCAATGTGGTATTTATTTCGATTTTATATTAAAGATTTATGTGAACAAATTGAACAAGTTTATCACGAACAAAATAATAAAGAATGCTTAATACTTTATCGTGGTCAAGGTCATTTACCAAAACAAGAATTTGAAAATCTTTGTTCAAATATTGGTGGTCTTATATCAACAAATGGATTTTTATCATCAACAAAATCATTTCCTTTAGCTGAATTTTTTCTTGGAGGTGCTCATGATACCGAAACTTCTTGTGCAGTTATTTTTGAAATCACAGTTGATGCAAAGAATCTTAAAAGTACGATATTTGTTGATATTAGTCAACATTTACCAGAATTAGGCGAAGAAGAAATACTTTTTAATATTGGAACAATTTTTCAAATTGATTCTGTTGAACGTGAAGAAGATTTTTGGAGAATTAAAATTCATGCAACTGACGATGGATCAATGGAAATAAAAGATAAAATGGATTTAATGAAAAAAAAATTTAAAACAACAAATTTAAATCTTTTATTTGGTCGATTATTAATTGATATGGGTTTATTTGATAAAGCTCAATCATATTTTAATTTAATTCTACAAATTTTACCTGAAAAACATCAAGATTTACCATTAATTAATGATCATTTAGGTGATCTTCAAATGCGTATTCCAAATTATAATAAAGCATTTAAACATTTTCAATTATCATTAAATTTGAAAGAAGAATTTTTTTCTAAGGATTGTACAAAAATGTGTATTACATATAATCATTTAGGAAATTATTATAAAGCTATTGAAGATACTTCAAAAGCTTTTTATTATTATGAAAAAACATTAAAATATGAAGATAATCTGATTAATATTGGAATAACAAAATTAAATCTTTCATCAATTTATCTAATGAAACGAGAATTTGAAAAAGCTGAAAAGATTTGTTTAGATGCACATGAAATCTTTCATAAATTAGAACCTCCTTCTTATGGAGAAATTCTTTTATGTCAAGGAATATTAGGTGATATTTCATTCGAAAGAAAAGGATATCAACAAGCAGAAAGTTTTTATCATGTTGCATTTGATATGGCAAAAAAATATTTCTCTTTTGGTGATTCTCGTTTGATTAATTGTATAAATGCATTAGCAAATTTTTATCAAAAACAAGGTAATACTTCTTATGCTTTATATTTTTGTTATCAACAATTAAATGAACATAAAAAATATTTATCAGATGAAAATCATCTCAATATTGCACAGATTTATATGAAAATTGCTGATTTATTAAATGATAAAAATTATTATAGAAGAGCTTTAAAAATATTTCAAAATAATTTACGTAAAGATTATTTCTCAAATGCAAATTGTCTCTTAAAATTGGCTTCGTTTTATTCAAATGAACAATCTTTATATTGTTATATTAAAGCAAATAAATTATATAAAAAAATTTATCCAAAAAATCATTCATCAATTATTAAAACACAAAAACAAATAGATGAACTTAAAAAAATGAATATTATTGAAAAATCTTTCGAACAAGAACCAATTCTTATTGATTATTTAAATCAATTTATATTTAATAATAATTCTATTCATTTAAATAATCAATCTTCTTCTCTTCAAACATTGGACCATCAATCCAATATAGAACTTTAAAGATATCAACATGATAAACAAAGTTAATTCAACTTCTTCTGTTTATTTATCAAATAATAAACTTTTATCTTATTATCAATGATTTCAATCATTATTTAGAACGAATATTTCTTCATAACAAAGACTCTTTTGAGAATATTTTTAACATTTAATATTACATAATAACGAAGTTTATAATATGGTGAAATGTTGGATGATGAATTCCAGACAGATTCAAAAAGATTCCAAAGTTTTATTAATTCAAAAAACACTCGTCGTGTCGACTTACTTTACCCTCGACTGTGGAAGACAGGTATTTTCTACATGTGTCAATAACGAAATAAATTGATCTAGCAACTTTATATATATACGAGGAAACGATTCAAATTTGTTTTCTAACCTAAACTCAATGTGATTATCTAATTCTTTCTACTAAACATATTTCTTTTATTAACATTTTTAGATGAATGATAATATTGAACAAGATTTATCAAATACTAATTCGACAAATGGTTATGTTCGTCTTTCAACTGATGATAATCAAATAAATCGAAACTATGTCATTTTAACTTACAAACAAATTTTAACTGTTGTTTCATGTGTATTAACAATAATTATTCTTTTATTGGTTACAATTGTGATCATCTTTGTCAAAACAAACAATCAAACTATTTATACAACATATAACACAACATCGGGAACAACAATAACAACAACAGAAACATCAACAATAGAATTAACAACATCAACAAAAACAACAACTAAAATTTTATCAAAAATTGAAAGTTAGAAAGATTTTTTAAATTTAAATAGAATTCTAATATTCTTAATTAAGATATCTATTGAGTTTTATAAAAAATGAAAGAGGAATAATGTAAATAGATTTGACAAGAATCCAAATTCATTCGTCTATACTAAATTATTCATATTATCATTGACATCGTCTCGATTTTTGAGTATAGAATATGAACAGTTTTTTTTGATCTTCCAGACTATTTTCATGATATGACATGTTAAAAACCAATTCAAACTCTCAATCTAATAACCTTGAGTTAATAAACAGTCGATATTTTCTATTTCAATTTTACATTAGTTTCTATTCTTATTGTTGTTCAATCTTTTTCGAATGTCATTAAAAGTATGAAAGTTTTCACTTTTCTTTTTTCATCACTTAGCATCAACAACGCAAAGTGTATTATCATCATCTTGTCCCATTCCAATTACGAACGCTGAATGGAACCAAAAAAGTATTATTTTTGTAAATCCTCTTGCTCGGTGTCTTTTAAATGAAAATGGACTTTGTCGACCACAAGATTTATTTATTGATAATATGCATGATAATCTTTATGTTGTTGATACACAGAATAATCGTATACAAAAATATTCATTAACTGAACCATATGATCCACAACAAGGTGCAGTTGGTCTAACTGTTGCTTCGAAAAATCTTATTGAACCTCAAAGTATATTTGTTGATAATGAAACAGAAGATATGTATATATTAGATCATATAACTAAAATAACACAACGATCATTTGATTCAGGTTATCGTGTTCATTTATGGAAAAAAAATGATCAAACTGGAAGAATATTATTTAGTGAAGTAGTAGGTGAATATGGATTTGGAAAGAATCAAGCATCATACCTAACATTAGATAAAGAAATGAATATTTATGTTGGAACAAAATTTTATATAAAAAAATGGTTATTTTCAAGTAATTATACTAAAAAAATGCACGTAGCAGGAAAGACTGGAGCAGAAGCAAGTGGCCCAAGTGATTTATGGGATCCGTATGCCTTTTATGTTGATGACGATTTAACATTATACATTGCTGATTGGCAAAATAAACGAATTCAAAAATGGTTATTTAATGCAACTGAAGGTATTACTCTTGCAAGTAATTTACTATATGTTTATGGATTAACAATGGGTTGTAATGGATATCTTTATTATACTGATGTTTATGATCACTCAATATTTCAATTAAATTTAAAGAATAATGAGAAAACAAGAGTTATTGGTGATGGAAGTCAGAGGCCTCTAAAGAAAATGCTATTTGCAACGGTGATGAAATTTGATAAATTTGGAAATATTTTCGTCATCGATAGTGATTCGGGATATCGAATACGGAAATTTTCGATTATACAAAAATAATTTATCATCTTCATTGTAAAACTCTTCTGTTTCTTTTTATCACTTTTCTAAAACTAACAAACAGAATCATTTTTAATATTTTCATTTCGTATTTTCTAAATTTGAGATAAAATGAATTTTCAATATTTAGTATAAATAACACTTCAAATAATTAATCTTTTGTTTTTATTTTAATTTTATTTTTAAGATGAGTGAATCATTTGATGCTCCACTTATTATTCCAGTTGATATTCCAAATGTTACCATTCATCTGAACTTGAATCAAAGAATTGAACAACATAGAAATTTAACAAAAGAGCAAATTTTAGTTCAAGTTTTATGTTTATTGCTGATAGTGGTTCTATTCATTTTTGTAACCATTATTATTTTATTAAATATGGAAAACAAAATATCACCGAATAAATATCGAAAACACGAAGAAATAACAATGCAACCAATGTTTACAAGAAAAGGTTAGAAAAACTTTTTGAAAATTTTTAATTTATGGATGAGAATGACGATTTTAATAGAATTCGACATAGTGATGTAACTAGAAAGTGTCGAATGTACGCTTTGGTCTAATTATATCGTTAATTCGAATTTATCTCTTTCACAATGATTCAATTCTATTGTCTATTTTTATCTGATTATGAATCTAATTATTACATAATTTATGTTAGAAATATCGTCTTTGCTCTTTAACTTAGTATTTCTATAACAGTTTTTAATCATTTAGTGAAATGTGTTAATGAAGTTTTTCAGATAATAAATCATATTAATAATAACTTTGATAATATTCTTTCCAAACAAATCTATTACATTCGTTAATAGATTATAAATTATCTTTTATGACAATGGAAGTGTTTAGATCTGCTCAGTTTCAATTGAAAACTTTTTCTGCCAAACATATTTTAATGAAAATAGAAGAAAGCAAAAATTTTAATGAAAATAAAAATAATCAGTTCGATTTATTGATTGAGAACAGAGATATTTCTTAATAAGTAATTCATTTTTTTATCACTGGGAATATTTTCCATTAACATATCAATGGATCATTCAACAGAGTATAGTATTAAGTCAGGACGATTCATCAGAAGTATTCGTCACAGACTAAGCTTTCAGATACTTTGTATTAATAGTGACATCAAGATGATTTAAATAATAATAGTAATACTTATAATATTAACAAAGAGTATTTTCAGATCTATTAATTACTTTCAAAGAATTTCTTTATATTATCTTTTTTTTTCTTTATTTAATTATTCAGTGTCAACAGATGAAACTTCGGTTCATTCTTTGTGTCATATTTCAAATATAAATGCCGACTGGAGTCAAGAAAGTCATATTTTTATAAATGTTAATGCTCGATGTCTTGCACCAAATGAACATGCACTTTGTGGAGTAGAAGATTTATTTATTGATAACGTTCATGATAATCTTTATTTGGTTGATGTGTACAATAATCGTATACAAAAATATTCATTAACTGAACCATATGATCCTTATCTAGGTGCAATTGGTATAATTGTTGCTTCGAAAGATCTTAACAAACCTCAAAGTATATTTGTTGATAGTGAAACAGAAGATATGTATATATTAGATCATATGACTGAAATAACACAACCATCATATGATTCAGGTTATCGTGTTCATTTATGGAAAAAAAATGATCAAACTGGAAGAATATTATTCTACGAAATAGGTGAAGATGCAACGAATTATTATTCATATTTAACATTCGATAAAGAAATGAATATTTATGTTGGAACAAGATTTCATATAAAAAAATGGTTATTTTCAAGTAATTATACTCAACAAGTGCTTGTAGCAGGAAAGACTGACGAATATATACATGGACGAAGTAGTTTGTATCTTCCACGTAATTTTTATGTTGATGACGATTTAACATTATACATTGCTGATTGGCAAAATAAAAGAATTCAAAAATGGTTATTTAATGCAACTGAAGGTATTACTTTAGTAAAGAATTTAACAAATGTTCATGGATTAACAATGGGTTGTAATGGACATATTTATTACACCGATATAAGTGATCAATCGGTTTTTGAATTAAATTTAAAGAATAATGAGAAAAGAACGATTATTGGTGATGAAAGTATCAATCGTGAGAAGTCGGAATTTTATCCAATGTTGATGAAATTTGATAAATTTGGAAATATTTTTGTTTTTAATTTGCGCACTTCAATGGTTATGAAGTTTTCCCTTTTATAATAATAATTTGTTGTGATTATGATTCATCTTGAATCAAAGAGAAAAATGAAAAAGAAAAATTTTGTTTTCATTGAATATATTTATCATTACAATGATCAAAAGCTGAGAGAATAGTCATAAATACCATTGCCGTAATCCGAGATATATAGACGAATAATATCATTTATTATTTAAGAGTCAGAATTTAGATAAGATGAATGTATAAATATGCTAATTTCACTTTATCTACACACAATCTCCTTTTACAACAAATCGTTGTCTAATTGTAAAATCTTGATCACAACAAATGAAATAAATAACTAATTTATGACCAAGTCTGCCGAATGAAAATTTAGAAGTCCGTCAAGAAAAACTGCTCTTCGTACATTATTTCAAGTATGCTCACCTATTGACAGAGAATTAGTACGATGTTACGCGAATATTTCTAAGCTTTAGAAAGAGAAAGGTCTCGCTCTGAACACATTCTGATAAACTATAAAGAAATCTATTAGCTCTCTGCACTGTCCACAATCATATTGAAACCTTATTTCAAATTTATCACCACATATATTCTGAATCTCCAAAGACAAAATTCAGGATCTCTTATCAATACTAAACTATCAGCTGTTGACCTACGAGACAATAGTGCAATGTAGCAAGACACTTCCATTCTATGAATACTTAGCAATCGAGAATAAAAAGCTCTGTGTAGTTCAGAGCTACATAAAATTAGTAGATATTCAACTGATACTATGTGATTTCCAAGCGACTCAGGCATTTATTGCCTTGAACTTGAACGAGCTTCCAAATAGTCTGTCAACATAATGATTTTGTTTATTGAAATGAAAATTTAGTTCGATACAATGGAAAACTTAAAAACTTGATCAAGATCTATAAAATAAATATTTCCAAGTTTATCCATTTGTATCTTTTGTGGCGAATGAAATGAAGATCTTTCAAAATAATGTCCAAAACTAACAATCAATCTCGTTTGATTAGTCTCCATATTAAATTGAGATATAGTATATTTCTTTGTCTCAATAAAATAAAGATATCCATTGCAATCCAATGTTATTCCCAAGCCAGTCGGTAAATCTCCTATTACTGTCGTACCTTCGCTTGCGTTAATTTTCCACTGTTGAATACGTTTATTTTTCCAGTCCGCTACATATAATGTGAAATCATCAGTGACGAAGAATGTAATTGGATCATATACGTCAGTCGAGTATGACGGTTTTATCGTGTGCATTCCAGCAACAACAACTTTTTCTGTATAATTTGTCGATACTAACCATTTCATAATGAAAAATCTTGTTCCAACATATATATTCATATCTTTATCCAATGTTAAATGATGATAAAAGTATCCAAAGTCAATTTCACCTCTTCTACTAAATAAAATTCTACCAATACTTTCATTTTTCTTCCATAAATGAACCCGAAAGGAACAATCCCTTGATGAATTAACACGTGGATTTCGATCCAAATCCAAAATATACATGTCTTCTGTACGAATATCAACAAATATAGATTGAGGTAAAATAAGTCCTTCACTAGCAACAGTAATTCCAGTTGCACCCATTTTCGAATTATATGTTTCATTTAAGAAATATTTTTGTATTCGATTATTATCAACATCAGCAACATAGAAAGTATTATGAACATCATCAATAAATATATCTCTTGGATTACATAAACTATGTTCAGTTAGACGACATTGATCAAGTGGATTAATAAATATAATGCCTGATTGATTCCATGTTGCATTTATAGATGGAATAGAACAAGATTTTGGTGATAAAGTAAATGTTGATTTGTTTGCTAAAACATAAAATTAAAATAATTATTTATGAGAAAACAACGATCTTACTTGTTCTTGTTGTTCTACTTGTTCTCTCATAGTTTGTTGGCGATTGATTTATCGTTGTCACTCTTTCGGTTGTAATTTGTATTGCAGATGTCTGTGTGCCATTGTACGATAGAAGATTTTGATTTTTGTTTATGAGAAATAATTTGATAGAAGTTATTAATAAAAGTATTGATAATAATAGAATTATAGAACCAATTAGAATTCGTTTTTTTGTTAGAATAGAATATACGGATCGAATTAGAAAATTATTGTTCGAAAAAAAGGAGAAAAACGAAGTGTTTGGACCAGATAAAAATATTTCGGAATCTTCGTCATCACTCGAATCTGTCATCTAAAAAATCATGGAAAAACAAAAATTATCAAAATATTTCAAATCAAACAAAATTTTCTCTAAACTATTGTCTTCTCCTTTGATCGTTTTTGTTGATTTTATCCAACATTTTGTACTTGATAAATATTTCATTTTTCTTTATAAAATTCCATAAGATATTTTTGTTCAAGAACTATAACATTATTGTCTACAATGAAAGTTATGAAACTTGTGTGTTTTTCAGGTTGCAATCACAACCACCGGACATTGATTGTGTTTAATAAAATATCGCTTTATTATGTTGGTATATATCGAATTTATTTTGAAAATTTCAAATGAATTGTTTCTTCACGGTGTTGAAAATATTTTGATCAATAACAACACGATATTTGTCAGTTTGTTTAACTTTACTAAATAATTCCGATGTTGAAATTGATCTCTATACTGTGTGGACGATAAGATGTAGTTTTGTTATTTAGTTTCGAAGGAGATGTTTTCGTTTTAAATGATCACAAAATGAACTGAGAATATTATTTATCCTCACCTTTTTTTCATCTAACCACGTTAATGTAAATATCATCGATTGGATGACGATGTGAAAGAGAAAAACAAACAGCATTTTGGTAAATGAGTTTTTAATCTACTACTCAAATCAAAGGAAGTAGATGTGATGTTTTCGCTACACTTGAATAAATCACCTTGAAAAAATCTCATTTAATAGTATTCAATCGAACGCTTATAAAATTTGTGGAAATTAACATTTTGTCGACGGATAAATATGGACGAAATGAAAAATTTTTATAATTACTTATTAATCGCTGGATTTAAGTAGAACTTTGAATGATCTGTAATGTTGATAGTAAAGAAAGAGAATTAGAATATGGAAATATGAACCTATATTTTCTCAAATGATTTCATCAGAAAGAAAAGCACATTCTATTTGTCATATTTTATACTAAAGTAAATCAATTATAAATAATTCCAATTTTATTCATATGGAAATTGAAATAATATACAATTAACTTTCGTCATTGCGATACACTTGACATCGACTCCGTAACAAAAAAAACTATTTTTCTGTGTCAATCGTAATACAAACTAGTCTAGTATCTTTGCAGGAAGGAATAATTCAAATTTTGTTCAAGTTTAAACTATGACTTTCGAAACAAAATCCGATTTAACGATTGCTATGTATTCCCTAAAAACGTCACTGAAAGACGCGCCATATAGGGAGCTCAATGGTATCTCACAATACGCGATTTGTAGACCTATAGATGGCTCTAAAACATGTCTTATCACAAGCGATAGATACCATGAAAATATTCGATAATATGTGTTTGATCTTTAATCAAGTGCCAACAAAGAAACAAACAAACAATTTCTTTTCGTACGACCCTCTTTATATAGTCGAGGGAACAAAGAAGTAACATCTTTCAAACATATATAAGTTTACTATGAGAATGATTATTCCAGTATTTTTTTAAAATAAATTATCTAACGTTTAATTTGATTAATATTGGTTCAATTCATCCATATCACATCGATTTAAATCAAGTTTTTGCTAATTTATTAAGAAGAAATTGATTGACAAATCAAATTCTATCGGTCATAATGATTTAAAATTGCATCAATATGCCGATTGAGACGTTTACATACATAAAGTATAATATAAAGCGTTGATAAAGATTAAATCTCTTTACTTCCTTCGTGATTATTATTTGATCAATCATCTATATATACAAAGTGATGACGATAGAATTAAAATACTATGGTGAAATTCACACGCGTTCTTTCAATAGAAATAATAGTTGACAATTACATTGAGATTAATTAACATCGGTGTACAGAAAAGTCATTGATCGATAAAAGATGAATTAACAATTTGATTTTGAAGAAATTAAATTTTTTTCCTAATCTTATTTATGATTTTTATTCCAAATAGCGCTGTGAAGCTTTTTATTTGTATATTTTATAGAAATTTAAAAAAGAGAATATGATATTATTATGATGATTTACTATTATTTTATAAATGATAAAAACGCATTTCAGAAGTAAAACTAGGTAAATGTAAAGCTTGAACAACGAGACATTTTTCTTTGACGAATAATGATATTGATTGAAAACGTCTGTCAAATTTGATTGTTTGTTTAATTTTTGCATGTGAAGTCATTAAAAATAATTCTTCTCCAAGAAATGAATGTAATAAATATTCATTATTTGGCAAAGGTTGAATACAATAGAAACCCAAATCAAGGTTTAATCTATGCAATACTTTCAAATCAGTTGGATTTCGTAGTTGTACTTGATTTTGTTTACCTTTAATAGCAACTGCTAAATATGAACCATCATTGTTAAATTTAAGATCAACAATAGTTCCTTCTGTTTAACGGTCACAAGTTAATGGTGAATCAAATCTTTCGAGTAATTTTCCATTCGGTTGTTCTATTGAATATATTTCAATTACTTGACCATTGATACAAACAGCCAATGTCTGATCAAAACATGTTCCATACGAAACATCTTCATTGAATTTCATGATTTCAACGAGTCTTTGCTTTTCCAATGAATAAAGAATTCGAAAGGTAAAAATGAGAAATTGATTCAAATGGGATGACCAACAAACGTCACGTGGAGCAAAATCTCGATCGATAGTTAACAATTCTTTTCCTTGAACATCAATTAAAGTTAATTTACCTTCAGGAAAGCATATCAGATATCGTCCATTATTAGCCATATCAACTGGTTCATGTTCTATTTGAACAATCTTTCGAGGTTTCTCTTTTAATTTGTTTAAGTTAAGTGTGAATTCTTCTTGAACAATTGATTTACAGTTTGTTGATGGAAAATTATCAACATTTTCAACGGATACTTTTTCAGCCATTTTACTGATTGATGTGATGAAAACGAAATAGTAAAGAATATCTGTTTCTTTCTTCTTATTCCAAAAATCTTTTATAGACCGCTGGGCAATTGATAAAGAAAAGAGAGAAGAACGATGTCGTTGTTGGTTGTTAATTTACATAAGTTGGAGAGTAGATAAGATCGAGAAAAAAGCGGAACTGTTTTCATTTATCATATAGTGTAAATAATGATTCATAATATTTTGTTTATTATGAAAATTTCGGAGAAAGAAGATCTTTTTCGGAGAAGTAGATATATACCGGGTGTGTTACACTTGAATTTTTTTCTTCTATTCTTATCATTATTTTCCTGACTTTTGAAAAACACTTTAAGTCTTATCTGAAGAGTTTAAAAACAAGTGTTTTAAATTGTCGTAATTCTCTTTTATTTGTTGCATCAAGATAGAAAGATGTTGGAATTATTACCCGATGAGTTGCTACTACTCATTTTCTGTTATCTACATAAATTCGATGTAATTTACACATTCACAAATCTTAATTCACGATTTCAACAAATAATCGCGTCCTTCTTGTTCAACGTAAACTTCACACAACAGTATAAACCTTCATATAAAAAATTTCAATGGTTCTGCGATAACGTTGTTCCGCTACATGAAAATTCTATTCATTCACTAAAACTCGAAGAAAGTCATCAACTATTGGCACTTCGTACCTATATTAGTGACAAACATGAAACAAGTGAGAATGAATAGTCACTGTCATATATGATTTTGATTTTTAATGTGTATTTTCTAGATCCATCACAACCTGTTCTTCATCAATTGAATCATCTAAAGTCTCTCGTACTAGAAATGGAAGGAGGTTATGATATTCATCATGAAAATGAATTAAATAATTTTCTTCTCGAAGCTCTGAAAATCTCATCGTTAACCGAACTATCAGTGTCATTAGATTTACAAAATACCGATTTGGTCGGAACTCATACTAATCGAATAGCTAAGATATTTGAATCGATGGCTTTATCTACATCGAATAAAATAACAAATCTTACTTTAATCTATCCACGTGGTTTACTCAGACTTGATTCTACCTATCAAATTTGTAGTATTAAACAATTATCTGTCAAAATATACTTTGCAAAAATGTTAATAGAATTATTCAATGCAACACCAAATCTTCAGGAATTGAATTTATCAATTGTAATGTTTGACGATACAGAACCTTTGAAATCCATTAAATTACCGGAAAAGTTAGAAAAATTACACATAGAAGGTGGAACTTACGATTACCGCACATATTCACATGAACAACCAACTTTTGAAATGATAAAAGGACTTTTAGACGTATTCAAATATCAACTACGATCGCTCGCATTGATTGTAAACAATGCTGATGAAAACTTTGCCAATTATAATAAATTTCAAAGTCTTATATGTAACTTCACTTGTCTGTGTAGATTTGAATATCATATTCGTACGAATTGCCGACCTAATAGTCTCTTTCCAAACATTGAACAACTGCCTGATCTTAGTTTTTCAATATTTACCATTCCACGATTACGACAGTTTGATAAAACATCATTACGAATAACATATGTAGCAGAGTTTAACTCAGATCTCAGTATACAAGAACTATATAATTGCCAACTACTTAGTATTTATAGTGAAAACTGTGACAGTTCGGTATTGGGTGCGTTGAAAAAAGGAGTAAGTATTACAAAATATTGTGCTATGAAATTTTGTCTCGCGTTCTGTAACCAACTTGAAGGATGTCGATATATATACTCTACTCTTAGATATCCACACTTTCATTCGTATTTCTTTTTAAAGAGCAATGCAAAACTTGTCAACTTGAAGAAACTTTCATTAACATCTACAAACAAAACATTGTCTATTGGCTTTGGTCGATTATTATTGAAGATCATAGGTTTTTCACCAGGTTTGACCGATTTATTAGTCGGTTCCGGAACAACTAATGTAAGTAATCTAATTAAACAATTGCAGAAAATTATTCCACAAAAAGAAGGAAAACAATTTCTATGTTTCGAAATGTTTGTGGATATGAAGAGCAAAAAATGGGATTTTTCTCTTGAATTATCGAAAATGTTACCAAATTTGAAAACAATCGGGATTAGTGGTGAACAACGATCGATCGATAACTGCTTCTCATCATTGATCGAGTTTGTTGAAGATCTACAAACTCATTTCAAGGAATTAGTTCGTCTAACAATAAAAACATATGCCGGTAATCATCGTTCATTTCAACGTTATGAAAATGATTTGAAAATATTGAGTAAACAAACAAAGAATCCGATATATTACTCAAGCAAAGATCAAGGTATGGCTAATTATTTTTTTGATATTTGGTTATAAATTTCTAAAATGATTTTTTAAATAAATATCAATATTCAAAATTCTTCGCTAACTCGAGTGAATTTCTGGATATCCTACATAATTTGTAACATAATATTAGAACAAATGTTCTTTGTTTTATAAAGATTACTCAAGAATATGAAATGGTTATAATTAATTTACTTTTCTTCTTTTTTATCTCACGTTCGACTGAGAATAAATAGATGAGATAACAAACATTTTTCTTTACACATATTAATTGAATTGCGATAATTGTTTGTTAAAACAATGTACAAGTACGATTAGGTTTAGTTTAAGAAAGAATGATCTTTTATAGTCAAGAAAATTCTGACTAACAGAAGATACTAAATTATGAAATCAAACTTTGATCTCAGTTGTTTTTCATCTATTCTTTCTTGTAAGAACACAAAATTGCGAATAAAATGAAAGATCAACAGAGTTCTTTACATCCATCCTTTTGTAAAGCTATAAGGACATAAAAAACTAAAGCACATTCAGAAAGAAAAAACATAGTCTTTAATTGATATTTTATTGTGTACAATTTTGACAATTTACGTTAGAGCAACTACCATTTACTCACAAATAAATCATAGCCTGATATTGCACTGTGTTAATTATTGTTTTTGTTCAATGGTAATCTTGTGTGTATCATTTTTGGTGTTTTATGAAGGAGAAAAAGAGGTGCAACAGCACGATGACGTCGATGAAAATGACATATTTGTACTTTTTGTCGAAGTTCTGGCAAAGTAGTAAGACAAACAAATGGTAAGAAGCAATAGAGTAAATACATCATATTGGAGAGATATGTATAACCAACACTCTCCATCGATACAAAACCAATTAAATATTCTGAGTTAATTGGAATTGTAGTAATCATATAGAGACATGATATTGACAAAAGCTGTATAGTCATTTTTCGAATTTTAGACCATCGTAATCGTTGATGAGAGCGATATTTTCGCCAAAGAACACGAAATAAGAGAGAAATACTACATAAAACGATAAGAATAGTTGTTACTATTGAGTTAGTAATTGTATCATATTGTGCAAGATTAAAATCATTGTATGCACAAGCAGAACCACAAAGAACTGATGCACAATCGAATACGTTTTCACATGGATATCCAAAAATTAAATAGGACGAATAAATGCAACAATAAACAATACAAAGTGTTAGAGGAATGTAATGAACTATTAGACGTTTTTTGAAAGTATTCAATAGATTTCGATGAAATATCAAAATATGACGTTCAATCGATGCCCATGTCATTAACCACATACCCAAAGTATAACAAAGATTATCTATCCACATCCAATATAAACATAATGAATGATTACATGGCCAAACTGAATTAATACGTAAATAATGAAGAAAAACAGAAATATCACCAATTAATGTGATAAAACTTAATAGAAGAATCAATATAAATACATGCATATCAATTGCTTTTCGAATTGTTGATCTTTTCCAAATATGATAAAATAAAAATAAATAACAAGGAATAGAAATCAATTGAAATAATTGAAGAATTATATATTGAATATTATTCGCAATTAAGATATCTTCTATCGAATCAATAGCATTGTTATTAGTTACCATTGGTTCTCCTGTCGCATTTTGTTCGTCGTTGGAATTCATTGTGTTCTTACAGATTTTCAAATGGAATCGAGAACCGAACAAAATCTTAATTATCTTATTTGTTGTTAATCGGATGACAAAGATGAAAATACTTTCAATCTAAATAATTACAAGATATTTTGAAATTTCACAGAAGATTTTTTTCCTTTCTCGTTATGAGGGAGTGATCCTTTGTCAGTAATATCTATAGAAATCGATTACATATTCTGTATCGTTCATTTTTATATACTTGATTATTATACTTCTACTGCTTTTTCGTAAGGTTTAACTCAACTTCTTTAATGAAAATTTTCTCAAAAGGTTTATGAAACTGGAAAAAGCTATTAGTCATTTTTAAAATGTTTACTTGCTTTTTTACTTTTCTATTATTATATTATAACAAAATAAAAAAAAGATAATTACACAGTTACTATAGACTAAATAAAATATCAAAGCGTAAGAAAAGCAAGATCTATTTGTGCAGACAAGAATCTACAACAAACAGAGGAAAGATCATCGACTAAGTCGAACTATGCGACTAATATTTATTAAATGCAAAAACCTAACGCAAACTAAATTTATCAAATAGAACTTTTGCAAAAGATGTTTCTTTTTCTCATAGGACGTAAATCCTACAACAAAAATGAGTCTTCTGTCTACATTATCTACCAACAGAATGATAAGAATTCATAGGATTAACTGATTATATTCACAAGAAAAAAAAAGTGCTCAGATTAATTTGAATCAAAGAATTTTCTTCTCTTCTCTCAGTAGATCAGAAAAAGATAAAAATCTATTCATCTTTCATAATACATAAGAGATATAAAAAACACCGTGTATCTACGTGAAAATTCGAATTTAAACTTTGATTTCAACAAAAAAAAACGTACTTCCTTATCTTTCACAATACTTTGATAATGAACACTCTATTATGTGGAAAAAAACCAATTTAATTATTCACTTGAGAGAACAAATATGTTCTACACGATTCTGTGTTTTGATACTCTTTAGAGAAAAAAAATATAGTTTCATATTCATGTTGAGAGTTGGTATTTTTGTTCTGAATATTGACAGTATAATCCAGTACACTAATCCTGAAAAGAGTCTTTACAATTATGTCAATCATCAATCAATAGTTCTTCCATTTTTTTTAATAATTCAATTGTGAAAGACAAAGATTTGAAGTAGAGACAAACGAATTTCAATTTTTTTTATCCCTTTTTTTTCGACATGACTCTCTTTTCAGTCGAAGGAGTAAGAAGAAAAAAATGTAGTCATGGAGCGATATACGGGGGGTTCAGTGGAAACATTGATAACCGTATATCTTCGGACCACGGAATGTTATAATTTGCAACATCGATTTATATTAGATTTGGTTTGATATGGTGCAATTACAAAAAATATGAGAAAGCGTCAAATATATTTGACAGAACGGAAAAAAAAACAACTTATCCTTGGCAGTGCGAGTTAGAAAATGGATGAAGAAAATGCTTTACAGGTAAACTACAGCATAAGATCTATACGGAGACTTCAGATCTTATCCAAAAGTCACGTGTGCTGTAAAAAAAAGTGTATCAGATTCAAGAGAGAGAAATATCAATAATTTTTCAATAACTTCGGAGTCACTTGTCCAATTAGTCTCATCTTCGAATTCCAACAAAATCCTGATGTAACGATAGCACCATAACTCCCAATGAGAATCTAAAATAGAATGTACAGGTACACTGCATTTTTAACACACTATGTTTACGAAGGTGTAAAAGCGCGAAAATTAAGTATTTACAAAATACAGACTGTTATCAAAGCAATATTTTAGTTTATTTCTCATTTAGATGATGATGATCAGCGAGGATTTAAAATATGCAAAAACTAAATTTTTCCTGGGTATCATACAAAAAACACTAACTGACGTTTTCATTCATCAACATTATGAGTGAATGCTATTATACAAATATGTATCGTGATGAAAATCGATTTGTGGTAGTTAATTGTTCAAGCACACCCTCATCCACACCCACCCACACCCCACACCCGTACCCTGATGGATCGTTTTGATCTTTTCAAATTAATTTTGATTTTCTCTTGCAATTATGCAGATCTTCTTCTACTGTCTGAATATTTATCATTTAACGGTGATGAAAATCGATTAGTGGTAGTTTTGTTTCAAACCCACCGTGCTTTATAACAGGGTATTTCGCTTGGAATTGATTAATTTACATTATTTTGTTTTTGAAATAATGTTTTTTGATCTTGTCTAAGTTTTTTACCATTTGAGAATGAACTCTAACAGGTTCGAAATCGATCATGGTAGTTATATCCCACACATTCACCCTCTTTTCAAACACATTTGAAAAAGAATAGTTTTGCAGAGAAACTTCTCATTTTATGAAACAAAAATATCAACGTAAATATGTGTCTTATATTTTTGCCTTATCATTTTTTTATCAAAGAACGTTGAAAGTTTGCAGCTTCTGTTCTTGGAAAAAAACAAGCTTTATTCATGATGAGATTCATCATAAGTTGATGATAGCGCACAAAAATATTGCGATGTTTTAGTTTTCAGTACGTTTGTTTCAATTTTAGATCAAATATTTTTTTGTGATTTTCATCGTATTCGATACATATTGATGACGATGTTCCGACTGAACTGAACTATTTACTGATTTCTTGTGAGCATTAATTCTACGAAGCAAAAGCTTCAGAAAACGTAAAAACATTTCATACTTGTAGGTATCGAATCTAATGGCACAACCGAGCACTAACAAGATTCAGGCAGCTCTCTTAGCTAAATTAGAAGAATCACGTCAACAGTATCCTGGCGATGATTCACAAGCAATTTATATTTTACCTGATGTTTATAATAATGATGATGGACGAATTGAACAATGTTTACAAGAAGAAAAGAAAACTCACGCAGGCGAACGCACCGTACTTATTCCCTATTTTTTGGAGAATTTCTATTGGACGGCACTTTTGATCGAGTTTCAATCGAACGGACAGATCGAACGAGCCGAATTCATCGATCCAAAGAATGAGATTGATCACGTAGCACATCGATTACAAACGGAATTTACTAAAGTTTATCCAGATAAAATTTTACAAATAAAAACTTCGCCAACAACAAACAGCAATTCGACGTCAATTGTGGATGTTTTACTTATAGCTGCAAATATTCGGCTTCCAATAGACATAAATCATCAAAAAGAAGGTAATGAATATGAACTTGCAGAATTGAAAGAAAAATTAGAAAAGGATTTGAAAAGTTACAGTTTGCAGAATGTTGATGAACTACAGACTGAAATAGAAGATACAAAAGCACGAATAGAGAAATTTCGAGGAAAGCGTAGAAACACAGATGCTCAGAATGAAGTCGAATTTTTAAGTAAACTTCAAAAACTGCAACAACTAGCAGATCAGATAGATAGATGGGTCTCGAATACTTCCATATCTTCCGAGAATCACACATTGAAGCTTCAGAAATTGCAAGAAAACTTAAATCGTGGTTTGATCAAGTTCAATCTTCAGAATGCAAGCGAATTGCCAGAAGAAATACGCGACACCGAAGAACGAATTCGGCAGTTTCAGAAACGAAATCGAAAAGAAGATGTGCAGAAAGAACTGATCATGTTACATGAATTGCAAGAGCTACAAAAGTTTTCCGAAGAAATGCGTAGTCTAACATTTGTTTCCTCTGTATCAACTATTCAACCCTCTCAACCAGTAGTTTCATCGATTACTGAAAACACGATAATACATAAGGAACAAACGAGAAGTTTATATTCTGAAGATCTACGCCGCGACACATCTATAATGCCATTTTGTGCAGAAAAACTCATCATGGAGCTTTTAATCTATTACGAGGAAAGATTATCAGAAAATTGTGCGTCTGTACAAGAGGAAAATTTAGAAACTTCTCCGCGACAAACCCTACGGGATCAAATTAAGAAAGAAGAATTACTTACAGTAGAAATCCAAACTATTCTTCAAAATATCGAGATCCACCAATCGAGCAACAACCCTCAATTAGTCATTCACCACTTGAACATACTTTTAAAGAAAATTCGACCATTAAATGTTCGAGAAATCCGAAGACTTGTCAGCGAAGCAGAAAAGACGGCCGAATTAATTAAAGATCAGGATATTGTTTTATTGATAGGCGATACCGGCTCAGGAAAATCGACCACGATTCAATTCCTTGCTGGTTGTAAGATGATACAGACTAAAGCTGAAGTCGCCCCTGGCAAATTTCTTGACCATATTACTATGGATGGAGTTCCGACAAATCCCCAACTGAAGAAGATTCGAAGTAGTGCATCACATAAATCCGAAACGCGTTATATCGCACCTGTTACAGTACAGTTGAAAGATGTTTTGGGTCCACATGAGACTGGAGTGATTACTCTATGCGATGCGCCAGGTTTTGGCGATACAGCCGGCCCAGAAGTTGATATCGCAAATTTTCTCGGAGTTGTCGAAGCTCTGAAAGGCGCGAAAAGTGTTAAATTACTTGTTGTAACAAGCTATAAAGGTTTAGGTGATCGTGGACAAGGTATTCAGAAACTAGCACGTATTTTAATCAATATGATACTTCAAATAGAAGATAAACTTCGTAGTATATGCTATGTCTTTACAAAATATCCTGAAATAAACATCAATACATTGTTAACAGATATTAAAAAATGTACTGTAGACACCGAAAATTCAAGTGTCCGATCCGATAGTGCCTTTGCAGCTGTTTTAACAGATATGATAGAAAAAACTGAAAAACATGCTTTTAATATTCACCCTGTTCATGACAATCCAAAAGAATTATTAAGAAAATTAATACATATGAAAGGTATTCAATATCCCGAAGAAGTTTTTTGCTTCTCTATGAGTGAAGAAACACGAACTAATATTGACAAACATGTACAGAGAGATCGACTTGGTGTAAATTATGCAATAAAACACAAAGATATTCAGCTTCTATTGTACTATCTAAACGATTTAAAGATGTTAAAAGATTTAATCAAGAAATATGATGCTCCAGAAACTTATGACCAATCGGTACGTTTGATCAGTGAAACGATTAGTCACTATTGCACAGAAGAAAAAGAGAAATTTCGTCGTATTTTGATTAGTCGTGATGGCTTAAGAGAAGATGACATTCGAGAGTATCACATTTGTATTGAATACCTTAGAGAAATTCAAATCCTAAAAGAACATTTAGGATCATCATTATTATCACCAGAAGTCTTAATGCAATTCATAAGTGTTCACCTTGAAGAAAGAAGACATCTTTTAGAAAATGAAGATTTAGACAGTTCATTAATTGAAATCTATTTGAATAATTTTCGTTTGTTGAAAACTTTATTTGACGAACTCGAAATTGATTATCATAATCGATGTAAAGAATTCGAAAAACGCTTTGATGAACTTGTCGAATCTGCACGTGAGCCTATTCTATCAAATGATTTCAAACGCGTTGTAGAACTCTTTACTAAAATCTCGAAAGCTGTTCAAAGTCTTAAAAATCATTTAAATCAACGAATCGTCGAAACATATCATCAAATTGTTGAATTGTTTTTGCGTCATCTGAACAATTTTTCAACTCAAACAGATCTAATTTTAGTTAAAATTCGATTAACTCAGGAGGATGTTGACGTTCTTAGCACATTTATGGAAATCTTGAGATCAGCGAAAGAAAGTTATGCACTTCGAGAATTTGTTTCGATATATCTAACATCGTTTGAAAGAGACAGTAATGATTTAAATGCGATCTATGATGAATTTCTCGGGAAAATTCGAAAATATTTTGAGGAAATTATCATTCGAATTGACAAATTCTTGGAAACAAATGATGAGCACTTTTTAGAAGAGACACAGAAATTAATTGAAGATATGAATCTTATTCGTTCAATTCCCGAACTTGAATCAATCACCGCTAATGCATATTATCGTACTGTTGAAAAAATACGCAGTTATGTGGATCAAACCGAAAGAAATATCGAGCAATTACTGAGTAACATCGATCACCAATCAGAAAATATGAATTCTAAACAACTTGTACGATCAATAACACGTTTAAAGAATACACAATGGGTTAACAGTATTAGTCCTGGTACATATAATTCAATAATGAAACGTCTTACCGAAGAATTAGTAGAACATAGTTCACAATTAGAAGGCTGTTTGAGAAAACTCGATTTAACTTTAAAATGCCCGGAAAATGTCTCGAAAGCAGAAGAAATCATCGAGAAAAATTTGTCTCTAAGCATTTTAGAACAACATTTTCCTGAAATTGAAGTTTATCGTAGAAATATTTGCGAATATTTTCTCCAATGTGTACGAGTAGTTTTTGATCATATTGAAAGAGATTTGAATTTCGTCAACAATAAAGATTATCGACAAGATCAAAACTTCAAGCAAATCAAAGAATCACAGAAGCCTTTGGATCCACTCTCGGCCGATTTTGATGAAGACGAATCGAAAGAATTAGAAATTGTCAAATCGAGGAAACAAGAAGCGACCGATCAATTAAGAGATTTACATTTACATCTTGAAACGTATGATAAAATCGTACCGAGTAAAACAAGAACGAAATTTCTAGGTCTTTTTAAGACATCAAATGAGAAAAAAAGTATTCCAGAACTTGAATTTTTCAAATCGATCGGTTTTGAAAATATCGAAAGTTTAAAAGGAAAAATTACGAAACTTCAAAATGAACTTCGAAAACTCGATGAAAAAGAAACTATTTTACATAAGTCTCTAACGTCTCTCCGTTCGAGTTTATCATCATCGTTCACTGAACATGAAAAAAACTTTCCACTGTACAAATTTAATGATCGATTGCGTTTATCTCTACTGAATAATGCATTACTGTATGTGAAATCTTGTGAACAAATTCGCTCCGATTATGTCAAAGAACTCGTCGTGAGGATCAATCAAATCTTGGTGAATTATTTACGTGAATATAATTGTGAACTCGACGAGAAAACCAAAGAAAGTTTTGAGGAAACGATTCGTATGAATGACGTTTATGAAGAAAATTATTCTCGATATTCTCAAAGTTTAGAAATCAATCTAGATGAGTTATCTTCTCTTGAAAAATTGCCAAATATTTTTCAATATCTCGATGGCAAACAGAAAATTCAACATTGGCAACAAACATTTATCAATTATTATCGCCTGATCAAGAATCAACTTGAAGATTACAAAATTTCCGATAAAAATAAACAATTAAGACAACAATTACTTATCGTACAAACATTAAGTTGTGTCGATCGTTTTTGTGGAAGAGAATTCGAAAGTAATGGATACGGAGTTTTATATCGACAATATCATGTCGATTTAGTTAAAGATTGTAGAGAATCTTATAAAGTTGTATTAGAATACATCGAAACAGGGGATTATGCAAATGTTGATTTACAGTTATCTCATATTGATGATAAACTTATGAATTCAAAAGATTTTGATCAAATTAAACATAATTTACAGTACTCCTTAAGTAAATTAATGAATGAGATTGAAATTCTGACGGGTACTTTAGATGAGAAAATTGAACGAGAAGGAAATAAATTCGAGAAAATCCAAGAAATCAAAGCCAATCTTGATAAAATTCGTCACATTTTAAAGAAACATGATATTATGAAATTAATCGATAAAGAAATTGAAATTCGCTTGAAAAATTTAGAACATAATAATAATAAGATTCTCTCAGCAATTTTCTTAATCTATCTCGAATCGATCGAAGCTTATATAGAGGCGGAATGTTTTATTGAAGCTGAACAAAGTATGGAATTATTCAATCGAATACTACGTGACTTAAATGGCTATTACAAATCCGATGAAATTTTCCAAAAATCGAAAGAATTAAATGTGCGATTACAAAACATTGTTGCCGAAATCTTAAGTCAAAACGACTTTACAGAAATTCACAATTATTCAATCAATCCACCGAAACATATTCTTGCTAAATTAGAAATTGTCGCTTCAAAATGTGGCAAAAAATATCACAAAGCTTACACTTCGATGTTAGACAAACTTGCCAAACATTGGACTTCTGCTATGAAAAACGCACGTGCTCTATGTCTAGACGACCGAATTGCAAAAATACATTCATTCAAATATGCATTACAATTTCTACCTGACGGTTTACAAAATTCATTTCAATCACAGATCGATGACTTGATTGCAGAGAGTACCAATGAAGAAAATCGTTATAAACAAGAACTACAAACATGCATTTCGAATACAGATAGAAGTGTACGTAGTATTCTTAAAATGCGAGAATTGATTGAAAAATTGTGTAAACAAAAATTGAATGAACTCCTCAATCAACTATGTGAACATTGTCTAAGTCATGTTCATATGGATCGAATCGATGTCGAAAATTATCTAGAAAAACAAGATATTCGACGTGCTTGCGAATCGATTGAGAAGATTTATGAATACAAAGAACATCTCGGTGTTTATATTCTTGAAATCGAAGGCATCTCTCTCAAAGTTCGACACTTGTTAATCCGTACGTTTTTAAATTCTTGTGAAATTCTAGCGAATGTTGATTCCATTGAACAAACCGAAAAAGTTGCAAAAGCATTTTCTGATATTCTCCTGTATCTTGATTTCTCGACATTCAATCTTAAAATCGAAGTCTTATTTGCAGAAGAGACTTTAATTACTGCTCGAGAAGATTTTGAGAAAATGTTGGAATATTTTCATAGAAATTCGAAAACATTTTCGATCGCACTTCATGATCTGAATATGAATGACTTGCATAAAGCGATGTTTATTGCGAAGAAGTGGGATTTAGTTTTAATGCAAATTGTCACTTGCCGATCGAAACATCACTTAATCGAGAATTTCTCGAAAAACATGAAAACAAGTCTTTCGTATACAAATATGATTTGCGAATTGGAAAAATTAGTTCAAAATTTCATTTTTCAAGTCAATGTTGAATTCATTAACGATGATACAAAGAAATTTGAAGTCAAACGTGATGAATTATTTAACCATATGAAAAAAGCCTTGAATACATTAAAATTAATCGATTCGAAATTTCGAGATATGGTACCATTGACATTTGACATTGAAAGATTAGAAGAAAGTCTGCAGATAAAAGTCAACATGTTGATTACTCAACTTTTAAACACAACATCGAAAGATGAACTTTCGACAAAACATTCCAATGACTTTCGAATCTACTACACTCATCTTGTCTCACTTGATAAACACTTCAATATTTGCGAAAATCGTATTCGACATGCGTTAGACTCTGTTGAGGAGAAAATTTTCGAACAAGTTTGTTCGCTCCGAAAACAGATAACATCAAGGGATGTTTCGATTGAAGAAATTTCGAAAATCTTAATCGAAATGAAATTGTATGCAGAAAATCTACCGATGTTTAATATGAAAATCAATGCTGAAATCGATGAAGCTTTGAAAATCTATAAAGATAAGCAAGGAATGTTAGGTATCGTGAAAATGGTTGTAGAATTGGAAAAATCTGATACAGGAACGAGATTGATGAGTGAACATTCTTGTTTAACGGGAGAAGATTGGAAAAGACGACGTGACAAAATGCAAAATCAAGATGACATTGAATATATTTTAAATCGATTAACTGGAGATGAAATTTCCGTAGATGTTTTACGTTCGCGTTATAAAACTTTTAGAAAAATCTATGATGAATTAATATCTACTAATTTAAAAATATTAGATTCAGGTTCAAGTAAGGATATCGATATATCAAAGTTAGTTACACAAATTAAATATATTATTGGAACAGTAACTCATACACCGAAGTCGATTACATGGGATCGAGCTTTGGCACAAGAAATACCCGAACTTTTAGCATATATTTTCGCGATTTGGACTTTACAAAATACTGAGCATTATAATGCAATGCGCGGCATTGAATTATCACAATCTTATTTATTGATTCCACACGTCGGACAAGTGATTGCTATTTTTCGTCTTCTAGGAATCGGATATGACACACGTGGAACAAGTTTCAGTTTAGATTTCGCATCAAAGGGGAAAACTGCGAATGATTTGGTTAATAATCTAGTCGAAATAGGAACAGGCGAAGGGAAATCTGTTGTTTTAGCCATAACTTCATGTATTTTTGCTTTGATTGGAATCGATGTGAATTGTTCATGTTATAGTGAAGTTTTAAGTAATCGAGATAAGAATGATTTTCGATTGGTATTTCGAGCACTTGGAATAGAAGATCGCATTCAATATGGCACATTTAATAAATTATGTGAACAATTTTTAAATGAACAATGTAATATACGAGAAAAAGTTCATGATTTGATTGTAAAAAATCAAAATGTATTGGCAAAAGTTGATACAAGAGAACGTCTACGTCCGAAAGTATTGCTAATTGATGAAGTTGATGTATTTCTAAGTGATCGTTTTTACGGCGGAATGTATACACCTTCAATAGTTTTAAAAGATCCGTCAATAAAGGGCTTATTAGATTCAATTTGGAAACATAAGGATGAATTAAGAACATTGAATAGTGTAAAAGCTCTAACACCGTATAGAAATTGTGCTACTCGATATAGTAATTGGATTTTTCTTTTCGATGAAGCAATCAAAGATATGTTAGTTGCTTTACAATCATATCAATTTTCAACGTATATCGTACGAGATGATAAGATTAGTTATGTTGAAGGTGAATCAGTTGTCGATAATGTCATTCGCGGTTATGATACAGTCTGGGCATATTATCATGAAAATGAAAAAGGAAAAATTAGTCATAGCAGTCTGAAAATGAACGTAGGGATTATTGTTAATTGTGGGACATTTTCTTATGCTGAAATGCCTCACGATTTTGCTTATATTGCAGGTGTTACAGGTACTTTGAAAACACTTGCTAAATCAGAAAAACGTGTATTAGAAAATGTATATCATATACACAAAAATACGTATACGCCGTCAGTTTTTGGAAAGAATAATCGTGTTTATGAATCGACGAGTGATGTACATGTAGTGGAAGAATCCGAGTATTTTAAGAGAATCCGTCTAGAAATTGATACCATTTGTGGAGCTGATCGTGCCATTCTCGTATTTTTTGAATCGGAAGACAAATTAATGGCATTTTGGAATTCTCCGGAGTTATCTTCAATAAAAAGAGATGTAGAAACTATAACGGAAAAGAGTTCTGTTCGAGAAAGAGACTTCGGTATCAGAAAAGCATCAACTGTTGGCAAAGTGACTTTATTTACACGAACATTTGGACGAGGAACAGATTTTATATGTCATGATCCGAAACTTTTAACCAATGGAGGTATTCATGTACTTCAAACATTTTTCTCCCGAGAATTATCCGAAGAATATCAAATCATTGGAAGAGGTGCGCGACATGGTGATCGAGGTTCATATCGAATGATTTTATTAGATAAAGATTTAGAATGGGTTCTTGGTTCGACTTGGAAGACAGAACTTTCGAAAATTTCCAACTTGAAACTTTATGAGACTATTAATAATGCTCGGCATTTAATTTATGAAAGTGCATGTAGTGCAAAGGATTTCGGTCTAGATCAATGCAAATGTGATCATCAAGCTTCAAAAGATTTCATGAATGCACTATGTAAAGGAAGTATTAAATCGATCAAAACATTCTTAACTGAACATAATAAAGGCGCAAACATTGCTAGAGAGTTATCACGAACAGTTGTACTCATGGATGCCACAGGTTCGATGTCTGGCTTATTGTCGGCTGCTAAAGAAACGGTTTGCACAATGTTTGAACGGGCTTCAACGATTTTAAAAGAGAAAGACTTACCTACTGATGTATTTCAAATGCAATTTGTAGTTTATAGAGATTATGATTGTAGAGAAGACGGAATTCTTCAGAGTTCGTCTTGGGAAACGAAGCCTCAAAATTTGAGAAATTTTATGGCAGGAATTACCGCGAAGGGTGGAGGTGACTTTGAAGAAGCGATCGAAATTGGATTATGGCATGCTGTTCAAGAAGGCGATACTATAGAGTCAATTGCGCAAGTTATTCTGATAGGTGATGCCCCTGCAAAAGAGAGAGAAGCAATTGAAAGAGATCGAGATGAGAGTGGCGGAGAATATTATTGGATGAACACAAAATTCAAAGAGCCAACTCATTTTAGTATCGAGTTAGACAAGTTAAAAGAGAAAAATATTCCAGTTCATGCTTTTTATCTTGTCGATGCCGCACGAGAAAATTTTGAAAGAATTGCACGAGAGAGTAAAGGGCGCTGTCAACAGCTAAATATCCATTCTCCGAAGGGCGCTGAGTTACTGACGGATTTTGTAACAGAAGAAGTTCTTAGAAAAGCAGCTGGAAGTCAAGGAGATGCTGCAGTTGAATTGTATCGAAAGAAATATGTGAAAAAAACGTTTTTATCTTAACGTTTTTCATTACTTTTCTCGCATCTATTTATCCTTTCCTTTGGATTTTTCACTATGCGTTCGAAAATATCTCATACAGTCCATCACACATTCGCTAACGCTTTTCGGTCCTTGTATTCTCCAAAAATTATGTTAAATTTCGTGTTTTTTATATGAATTTTTTTCTATTTTTCATTTCATTTTTTTATATTCCGGAACTTTATTTCAATAAAAAAAAACTCCTTTTTTATGTCTTATGAATAGGATGAGGGTCTGTGAATATGATTTTTACGCATACCATCACCCTTATAACCGATTTGATCCCATAAATCACGATCATCTTTCACGTAGTTGTTTCCTAATCGAAATGGACTTTCAATGAACAGATATGTTTCATTTCCATCCGTGTATTTTGGTTATGTTAAAGGTACACTCGACGGATCATTTGAATTTGCACTTTTGGCAAAGTTTGTCCGATAAGTAGCCATACCTTGTGATATATATATATCGATCAATGTCAGTAAAGCGTTCCCAAAACGATTGAAAAACATAAGCAACTTAATCACCATGACAAGCGTGATCAGGACAATCCAGTGAGTTGACTTTGTTATACGGATAACCGAATACATAAGAGTAGGATGCGCAGCTTTTCGAACAAAAAGACGAGTAGAACAAGTAAACATCCATTTTGTCATAATGCGAACGATATTTTGGTCGTTGATCACCTGAACTGAGTGGTGGATAATGTTCAACAATTTGTAGTGTTTTGTCTCCTGTTAGCAATCACGTATCGCTCTTCTCTTCCATTTTGAAAGAATGTTATTGCAGATAACATTCCCTTTTCGTTGGGGAGTCACTTACTCTTTCAACTTGAATAAACATAGTTATTCTCGTTGAATCTCTCCTTTTCCTTGATGGTGGACTTGATTTGGATATAGAGAGCTCACACCAACACTTATCCAATTACAAATTTTACTACCAAATGATTTTTCTATCGCGCTTATCGTCGAAATGTGTCATTTACCGCGGGATGATCATCCTAAATTTCAATTAATACAAGGATTATTTCGTCATACATTTTCGTCTGATAAACTCGTCTACATTTGGGGTACAAAAAATGAATTATTGCCTTTCGTTACATTCAACTTTTCACGAAATAAATTTACAAGATGAATTTAAACTTTTTTGGACACAACATCATCCTCATTCTTCGTCGTCATCATGTATATGTGAACACTTTATTGGGAAATTATCGTCCGAACCATGGTCGCCCCAGGATTCCATCGTCTACGCTCTACACGAATATCTTTCAAAAACGCCACGCAACAACACTTTCAGTATTGGTCTTGATCCACAACTTTTTCATCACAGTGTGATTGAACAACGTCCTCGTTCAGAGCTTGCTGCTTATGCTCTTTCTGATTGCTTATCAATGCAACGTCTTATTCTTCATATGAAAAATCAATACCATCTATTTCCATCATTCATATCCACATCATCGTCAGCCGATATCCTAGAGTTGCATCCAACATCACCCCTCGATGCTTCTCTTTCGCCACCTCGTGCATCACTAACACCTGCAAACTCCGTTCCTATGCCTGATTCTATAGTTTCTTCACCATCTCGACATTCACCACCTCGTGAATGTGCTGATCTATCTGCTGCTGCTCGTCGTGTTATCCACAATTGCAGTTGCACTTTAAAACAACGTGCGCGATGCAATACATTTACTATTATTAAACGCAATATCGTTCTAGCAAGGAAATCTAAAACCTTTTCTAGTTCGGCACATTTGGCTAAAACCAAAAAAGGTTCACTATGACCCGATTTTTGTTTTACAGAGTAGGAATGTTTGCATATTACGCAGATGAAAGACCACTAAGAGAACGGTTTCTTCAGATTACACTACACTGTATTCCAGACCACTTTTAGCATCAGTTGGTAGAGCACATTAAGAAATGATCCTCAGAACAAGGTAAGACATGTCAGACAACAAAGCATTTGCTAACGTAACATGCGAATAGCCAACCGTATATCTCAGAAAAGGAATGAAAAAAAAGAAGAAAAAGCATTCTCTTCCATTCTTACATGCTGGAAAAAAACGTAGTACACTCCAATTTTTTGCAACGGGTAAGAAACAGATTCTCCGACAAAATGTTTGCTCATTTTGAAGTCCCTAGAAACCATTTATAACAAGTCCACATATATACGCTTTGATCAGAATTTTTCTTCTCTTTCAGAATGTAAGTTTGTTTTATTTCTTCAGTCCTTTTTTGGAAGTAAGAAAACGATCTTAAAGAATTCTTGAAAACATGGTTACGCGAAACTGCGTGCCTGATTGTAACTTAAAATGAGCATAATTGTGCGTTTCAGTCTGTTTTTAAATAATTTCATCTGCTCCATATTTGGGAATTTTCATGAAAATTTTGCGTTCATTTTGAATAAGAACTTAGGAAGAGCGTATCTATCGCTGATCTAAAATGCTGAAGGAGTGTCTGGCAAACCCAAAAATTTATTGTGAATCGTAAATCATCATAAACTTCCTCATTTTCTTAGTGTCTTTTTACCATTATGACGGTGGTTGACGCCTTCTCGGAAAATTCATTATCAAGATATATCATAGCTTTTGTAACTTTTTTTACAAAAATGAGTGTTTGCAAAACCCATATTATAACGCGATATCGAAGGTTAAACATATATTTAAACAATACATTTTGTACAGAGTTCTCTACTCTATAAGCTCATGTAAAAACGGAGTTATTAGTCTTTAGTTTTTTGTAATGAATATACAAACGTGTGTAGAAAAATTTTGTCTAAAACATGTTTTTAGGATTTCTCACTGATCGTTTCCCTACTCTCAAATAAAAAAACTGGAGAAATATAACAAACCTATGTTCTGAAAGAGAGGAAAAATTTTGATCAAAACGTGTATATGTGGACTTGTTATAAATAGTTTCTACTGACTTAAAAATGAAGAAAAATTTTGTCGAAAAACTTTTTCACTACCTGTTATAGTGTTCAGTGTCATAATAAATAAATAATTCTTCGAGGATAAATTCAATACGAGATAAACAATCCGGTGACCATTAGTTAACACAGAAAATACGCAAGACACGGTAACGCTATTTCTTTTTTTCTTGAAATTAGATTTAAAGAAAACAGAATCGGATAAATGAGTGACACAAAGAGACAAGACGTAATTTTATTTATCAGTACACAACTGAGTCACAGAGTGCACAAATGAAATCAGCTGAAAACTGATTTTTAACTATATTTCACATAAAATCATACGTCTAATGTTAAAGCAGATTCTCGTAAGTAAATTCTAAACTATTGTAATTTGCAAACGTCCCTATCTCATCATGTACTTTACTTTTCTTTACACATTCTTCTGCTCTAGGTTCATTTTTTTGCATATTTTGATTGCTGTTCTTCGCGCTGTTGTGCTCAATAATATGGATTCTACTGCACATTCATCACATGAACATATTCGAGAAACTAATTATATTCATACCTCAAATCCTGCGAAATATGAAAATATAGAAGATATTAATGTTATTTGGCTAGACTCACGTTTAAATGTTTCGTTGGATTGTTTGGACACAGAAAGACGTTTACGGCGCATGATTGATCGTCTATTGACATTTAATTCCTGTGACGCTTTTCTGAAATACATTGATACCGAAACACAAGAACGGATATTCTTTATTGTTTCAGGTAGCGATGGCGAATTCATCGTGCCACGTATCCATTCTTTATCAAAAATCTCATCGATCTATATTTTCTGCGGTGATATAGTTAAACATGAACAATGGTCAAAAGATTTCACGAAAATCCATGGTATTTTCAATACAAAAGATGCTCTATTCAAGAGAGTTACGTCAGACATGACGTTGTACTTGACAAATTTATTGTCATTTAGCATACTCGGAAAACAGGACATCTATCAAAAATCATTATACAGTTTATCATCTGAAGGTGCACGTTCCATGTGGTTTCAATTACTTATCGAAGTTTTGGTATCTATGGAACATTCGGATGAAGCTAAAAGTGATTTATTGGAAATAAGTCGACAACAATACAAAGATGATCAAGCAGAAAATAAAAAAATAGATGAGTTTGATCGAACATATACACCGGAACATGTCGTATGGTGGTATACAACAGACAGCTTTCTATATCGGCTATTAAACAAAGCTTTACGAATAGAAAATATTGATATCATTTATAAATTTCGTTTGTTTCTGACTGATCTAGATAATCAGATAAAACGATTGTACAAGGAACAATCATCACTTCTACAATCAAAAGAAACATTTTATCGCGGTCAGAAAATACCACAAATCGAACTTAGAAATTTACAGGAAAATATTGGTAGTTATGTGGCAATGAACACATTTACGTCAGTATCACAATCACGTGAGATCGCATTAATCTATGCAGGCAATGGCGAAGACCGACCTGAACTAGAGTCTGTAATTTTTCAAATAGAAATCAACGAACGTTTATCACCATGTTGTAATATCCGAGACTTTAGTCAATTTTCAAATGAAGAAGAACTTTTATTAACAATCGGTAGCGTTTTCCGTATAGTAGACGTGAAACCTTCTGGTGATCAATGGATAATTTATTTAACTCTCGATAAATCTGACAATCAGAAAATGGAAGGACTAAAGAACTTTTTAAGACAAGATCTTTTCCATGAAACTGCATTAATTAACATCGCAAAAATTCTATTTCGAATGTCTGACTACAATCGAGCTGAACAGTATTGTATTAGAGCGGAAAAAGAACTTTCTTCTGATAACAATGATCGAGTTGGTCTCTACCAACTTCTTGGCGAGATTTATCAAAATGGAATGGGAGATTATAATAAAGCTAAAGAAATGTACGATAATGCTCTCTCGTTTAGTGATAATGTGTCACAGTTTGTGAAGATCTTTGGCAATATGGGATTACTTCAAATACAGATGGGAAGTTATGATATGGCTTTGACGACTCTTAATCAGGCAGAGCGACTGTCTCGCAAATATAATTTATCCAATTCTTCTGCTATTAACACATTAGCTAATATTTGTACCAATATTGGAATTACTTATCGTCATAAATTAAACTTTATAAAGTCATTACAGTATTATAGGCACGCTTTAGACCTGAAGTTACAAATAGTACCAGAATTAGATCCCTCACTTGCTGCTCTTTATAGTAATATTGGCAATTTAAGTTGTATTACATGTGACTATGAAGCGTCGTTAAAAGCATATGAAAACGCTTTGAAGATCCAACTACAGTGTTTACCGGAAAAACATAAAGATCTGGCCACAGTATACAATAACATCGCTCTCGTATATGTGACTACTGAACGATATTCACAAGCCTTAGAGAATTTTAAAAAATCTTTAAATATGTTTGAAGCATTGTTAGACGCAGATCATCCGGCGATAGCCACTCTATATCATAATATTGGTGACACTTATCAGCGATGGAAACAATACGATATAGCTGTGATTAATCTAGAAAAAGCACTGCAACTGCGTATTCAGAAGTTATTACCGACACATAAACATATTGCTGAATCATATGAATCTCTCGGATGGGTATACTATTACCTTTCAAATTATGAAAAAGCATTGGATTTTTGTGAGAAGGCATTGAAAATCGAACCAAATAGTCCCAGTGTTTACAACTGTATGGGAATAATCTTTAATTTACAATGTAATTACAGTGGAGCGCTATCAACGCTTCAAAAAAGTATTGATTTATATGAAAAGTTTCCAGCCGAGCGTACCATGGCGCTTGCGAAGATCCGTACAACTATTGGCAACATCTTATCGATTCAAAAAAAATTTGACGATGCACTTAAACATTATAACAAAGCAATTGAAACTTATCATTCTGGAAAATTATCAAATAGCTCCGATTTTATATATATATACAGTGCACGAGGAGCGTTTTTCAGCCTCACGGGAGAATATGATAAAGCTCTTGCCGATTTGACAATGGCTTTCGACATGGTAAAAAACTCTAAAGTAAATTATATGCTATCGGAGATTCTAATACATATGGGTAACCTGCATCTCAAACAAAATCATTTTGCTGAAGCACTGAGCTGTATTAAAGATGCTGAGAAGAATGAATCGTCATTATCTGTGCAGGAGCATTCTATAAAAGGCGAAATACTTCGTCTATTAGCCCATGTATCGCATAAACAAGTACAGTATGACAATGCTTTAAAATATTATAGAAATGCGTTGGAAATATTCTCTCAAGCTGTTCCTCCTAATAGGCTAACTATTGCCTATATCCACGTGGAGTTAGGTTGCATATATGAACAAAAATGTCTGTATGACGAATCATTAAATGCTTTTCAAGAAGCATTGCATTTATTCACGATGTTATTTACCTCTACTCATTCAGCTATTTTATATGTAAATGATAAAATTACTCATATTAACGCAATCCGACAAAGAAACGACATATAACTTTTAATACGTTCAAGCTAACGTTAGATAATCAACCCCATTCAACACTAATTGACTATTGTGTACTTGTTTATATATATCGACACGGCCATGTGTTAAAAAAAGTTCACTTTTTCAACTTGAAGAATATATAATTCCTCGATAATATGAGAAATTTTGCTGAAATTTTTATTGAGTTCTCACCAGTCATAGTGGAGCTGTTAAGAAAATATCATTCGTTGTGGAATTTCGCAAGGTGTACAAAGTTTTAAGGGTGTATCAGTTATAAGCAATTTTCTAGAAAAGTAGTCGTCTCACAAAGGAACGTTCTACACAAACGTTGCACAGTTTTTCACAAGCACTTACGACGTAAATCAGCCAGTAAAACAAACAAAAAACGAAACGACAAAATATGTATATTAATAAGAGAGAACTTAAAACTGCGACGACTTAAATAGTCCCCGAATCAACGGGGAAAATAGTGATTTCTAGATGAGAAATCAGTACTTCATATAAAGCATAAATGAAATGGCTGAGAAACAGTTGAAAAAGTTAGAAATTATTAAAACGGAGTGAAATCAATGAAAAGTATATGAGATCAGGGAAAGCATTGATTTGCATATCAAGAATGAAATCTGGATTTCTGTTGATTTCCTACAGATTTCACGTAGGATATCTTAGAATAGGATTCGAGTTTTTCTTGAATGGATTCGCCTAGTGGCGGGACCAAACGGGACCAACATCGGACCAAGATGCAGCTCGACGAGCGCTATCGAATGGTGTATTTACTTTCTCCAAAAGACCCTTCCTTCTAGTGAAAAAGTCGAAAAAACTAGTAAAAATTAGGTAAAAAATGGTAAAAATTTAGTAAAATCTGAATGGATTCGCCTACCAATGGGACCAAGCAGTCAAACTTTCAAGATCAATAGATCTCGACGAGCTCTATCGAATGAACACCTTTTCAGCCTGATTCGGAAAAATATTACTAGTAAAAACCCTAAATACATCAGTTTTCACTAGTAATTCTCACTAAAACCTGTATGGATTCGCTTGTAGATCGGACCAAATAGTGAAACTGTCACGATCGATAGAGTTGATCAAGCTCTATCGATTGACTACCTTGAATACTATATTTGAATATACTATAGTGGTAGAAGTCACTAAATAGTAACCCCTTACTAATGATTTTACTATATCCAACAAATATTGACTCAGAGTTCAGACCAGTGTAGATCAATGTTAGACTGAGATAGAACTCGATGAGATCTACCGATTAAGTACCATGGGTGCTATATTGGAGTAAGTTAGAATAGTAAAGGTTACTATTTAATGAGTTTTTTACTAGCGAGGCCTTTGAATGACTTTTTTAATGCAGTGAAAGATAAGATTGTGAAACGCTGTGGCGTGTTTGATACAGTAAAAACCTTTTCGGCTTCAGTTGTATGCATGGTGTGCCCAAAGTGGGTCACAACTCTTATCGTGTATGTTTCAAAATTCATTATATTCGCAACCATGTGTAGCTATATCTACCAGAGACCGACGGTATGCGGTACCAACACCGTACCGTCTTGTCCCGGTACGGTACGATATAGGAAAAAATAGAAGTAAGGCGGTACGGTAAGGTATGGAGTTAAAGAAGACGGTACGTGATACGAGACGGTATTAAAATTTTGCAATACCGTCGGTCTCTGATATCTACATTATTTTTACGAATGCCATCTCACATAACGACAAAGTTCTTAGTTTACCGTTTAACTCCACTACCTATTGTGTCTAAGGGAAATAAATATATTTATTCGAACCTTCCGAAAATAGTTGGAATTAATCCATTAGAACAATCGTTAATTACATGGAATGATGAAAGTGATACCAAACAGTGTATATTCTCGTCTATCCTTAAATGTGAAAAAAAGCCTATCTCCATCTCAATATCTAAATCATTATGTCTATCTCAACTATTGGACAATAAATAACTACCCACCAATATGTGCAAAATTACCAGATCACAACATATTGATCAAGATGTGATTCATATTGACAGCGGTATTTGGTTATTTTTAAATGTTCATAAATCTGAATATTGTCAAGTTTCTTCAACATCAAAAGAATTTACTGAACCATTGTCAATATCAGAAGCAGCGCTGATAAATCTGTCATGTAATAGGACAATCACTTGCGCGAATGTCGAATTATCATCATCATCATGTACACAACGTCATACGACTATTTTAAAATCAAATATGATATCCAAGTTTCGGCATCTATCCAATGTGGCCGTATCATTAAGAAACATGACCGACACAGTAATATCATCTTATCAGAAACAATCACAACAGTCTATTGACGAATTATCAACAATTTTTGCCTCAAAGCAATTATTAACAATTCACGATATAATATTATATATTATAGTTCTATTAGTAAGTATTATCTGCTCTGTACTTTTGTATATATGAAGATATTTTCTAAACAAAGTACGTGGACCTGTACGTCGTTTGAACACTATTCTAGATGACGTTTTCACTGTATAATTGTATACATTTAGTTTTTCTTTACTTGATTCTTCTCTAATAAATGTTGATATTCAGTATTCATGTTTTGTTATGGAATATTATTAATAAATAGAAACCTTTCTTCAAAAATCAGCGCATATACCTTATTTTCCTACTATTATTATCTTAAACATATTCACAAAACCCTTTGTGGTTTATAACTTACCCCAATATAGCACCCATGGTACTTAATCGGTAGATCTCATCGAGTTCTATCTCAGTCTAACATCGATCTACATTGGTCTGAACTCTGAGTCAATATTTTTTGGATATAGTAAAATCATTAGTAAGGAGTTACTATTTAGTGATTTTTACCACTATGGTATATTCGAATATAGTATTCAAGGTAGTCAATCGATAGAGCTTGATCAACTCTATCGATCGTGACAGTTTCACTATGTGGTCCGATCTACAAGCGAATCCATACAGGTTTTAGTGAGAATTACTAGTGAAAACTGGTGTATTTAGCGTTTTTACTAGTAAGATTTATCCGAATCAGACTAAAAAGGTGTTCATTCGATAGAGCTCGTCGGGATCTATTGATCTTGATAGTTTGACTGCTTGGTCCCATTGGTAGGCGAATCCATTCAGGTTTTACTAAATTTTTACCATTTTTTATCTAATTTTTACTAGTTTTTTCGACTTTTTCACTAGAAGGAAGGGTCTTTTGGAGAAAGTAAATACACCATTCGATAGAGCTGGTCGAGCTGCATCTTGGTCCCGTTTGGTCCCGTCACCCGGCGAATCCATTCAAGAAAAACTCGAATCCTATTCTAAGATATCCTACGTATGTATTGTTCTCATCTGAAGGAGGAAGTCAGTTGACATTGAAATAAAGTAAACGGAAGAAGCAAAGCTAAATAAACCGTTACAATAAGAATAAGAAAAACCTTTTCAATTAACTTATCTTTGTCAGTATCATAGAATTTCATTTCATCGGTATAATATTGACGTTAATTTCTATTTATTTGACAAACATAGATGCATGAAGGTATAATAAGTTTAACAGTAACAACAACAAAAGCAGAAAGCAAAAAAAATTAAATATTATATGATAGAAATCTCGATCGAAATCGAACGATTTGTTGTTGAATTGCACTTTGAAATATTTTTCTATAACTATCTGATGGTAGTACAAATATAGGAAAAGTTAATATTGGTGGTATAAATGAAATATAATAACCAATAATATAAAACCATGGATTGCGTGGTGTTTTCATACAACCATTAAGAAATGAAAATATTAAACGAGGTGATCCTAATAAAACTAATATTAATGGTGAAACTAAAACATGCTTATGTCGTTTTAGTTGTTCTTTGAAATGTTGATTATACGATTTATCTTGTTGAATATTCGATCGATTACGAGCTACTAAAATAATAATTGAAAAAGCAGATAATATATTTATTATTAATGGACCAAGAAAATGTATGAAGGTAAGAAAATAATTATAATTATCAACCATTGATGGATATCGAACAAAACACCAAATTCTTTGTTCATCTTCATCTGTATCATAAAGTAATGTTCGATAATATGATTCATGAAAATATGAAATTAATATTAAACAAATAAGAAAAGGAATGATCCACTTTGCTATTTGTTTACTTTTGATTTTATTAAATCTTGTTCCACTCATTGTATTTATCGCTCTTTCAATAGCAACACAAGCGATAATCCATTCATTTGATGCTAAAAATGATTTTAAAAGTATATCAATCAATTTACAAGCAATTAAAGATTCATTTTGATTCGAATGCATTTGTGATAATAATAAACTAAGAAATTTAATTCCCAACATAATTATCATAAAAAATGCAATAATTGATGATGAGAAAAGGTAATAGCCACAGCCAACTTCTCGAGGATTTTTCATATGAAATGTTAATATTGATAAAATAACATCAATTAAACCTATAATTAATATAAGTAATGTTATAGTAAAAGTCATTTGTATAATTGGTGGTTGATTAGAAAATGGAATATTTGGTTTAATATAGTAACCAATTATCGGATCAAGTGAAAGAAGATTTCCTTTCGTTGACATTTGACATTTTCCACCATAAAAGCAATGTTGACAAGCACAAATTGATTGTGTTGGACATGTTTGATTATTTTGAAAACATCGTCCATCATTTTCACAATTATTTTCTCCTTGACAAGTTTGATCTAATGTATGATTAAATTCAACACAATTAGCAAAACGATCAACATCACATGTACAAATTAATGTTTCATCATAAAAGCACATTAAATGTAAATATTCTCGACATACAAATGGATAATATTTTGGATATTCAATGGTACCATACTCATACATTGATGAATTTATATAGGATTTAACATACGGACAATATTGTTTGGATGTAATTTGTCCAGAGATATTTTCAGACGAAATAAATTTTTCACGAATAATTCCTAAATAATAACTTTGATTTAATAATTGAAGATAAACTAAATGAAATTCTTTTGAAATATAAAATTTTATTGTATCACTATCAATTGGAATTTTCTTCATTATAGTTGTTTGTTCATGTTTTGAATGTCGAAACATTGTTATTATATGAAGAAATACAAATGATGAACTTTTAATAATTGTTTTATCTAATTGCAAAGTAATATGAGGACTTGAAGATTCACAATGTTTTCCAAAATATTGTTCATTACAATGACAGAAATAACCTTGTAAATCAATTCGATCATCTGTTGGAATACATAAACCTCGCTTTTCACATGGATTATTATCTTTTGAACAAATCGAACGTTTTAAATAACATTTTGATCCAAATCGATTTAAAGGACAAATACAAATATTAGGCGAATGACAATATGAATCATTCGAACATAAACATTCATAAGTTTCATTACAAAATCGACCAGAATATCCTTTCTCACATAAGCAATAAGGTTTTGACTGATTATTTGTGTAGTGAAGACATTGACCATGTTCACCACATGATAATCGACATTCTTTGATAATTTGTTCTTTCGGAATAATTAATCGTCTTGATATTCGATTAACAGGTAGAAATTGAAATGGAATTGATAGATACCAACTTGTCCAATGAGTAAGGGTTAATTTATTAAATAGATCAATACGAATTGAATATTTATTTAAGAAAGATTTTGGACGTTGTGGATATAAAAGATAAAGATTAAATTTAGTTCGACAATCTCGAAGTGGCGTAAAAAGAATTTCTTCATGTTGATCAAGAATTTCATCTTGTTCATTGATTAACATAAGAATTACTTGAAAACTAGCACTAACCAATGTTACTCGTGATAAAATAAATTGAAGTGTAAGACTTATTCGCTGACTTTGCCATTGACATTGTGATCCAAAATAACTTGGTGGACAAAGACATGTTTTCGTATAATTTTGTCCAGTAAAGATAAGAATACCTCGATTACAAAACCATGTTTGTGAGATATTGAGATATGTCTGGGATGTCTTTTGTTTATTTCTTCTTGAATTAGATTTTTGAGATATTGATAAAGAATTAACTAATGGATAATAACCTAATCTTAAAGGACTTGCAAATGGTTCTTTACGATCTTGATATATGTCCATCTTCAAATAACACAATGCATTTTCTATTAAGGGTAATCGAACAGGAAGTCCAAAATCAAGACTTTGATATCGTTCTCTTTTATCACAAAGACATACATGATCTTTATCTATTGTTGATATTCTTCTGTCAGACAGACAAACATTCTTTTCGTGAAGACATTTTGCATTCTTCCATAAATAAAAGATTGTTTCATTAATATTTGTTTCATTATAAATAAAATAAATTGATTCACTACTAAATCCATAACAATATTCATTTCTATGAACAGCCATTTGACTCATCGATAAACAAATTGTTAAATTTAATTGATTATTTCGACATTCATGTTGATTTATCAAACAATTTGTATAAGAACAATTTAATTCATCAATACCATTTGGACAATCCCAAATTTGATCACAAAGAACATATGGATTGTAACATGGCCAGAACTGGCATTGATAAGAATCTTTGTAATTGTAGGAATACAATCTCTGTGCTGCATTACCAAGACAAAAATGTGAATAAGGTGTAGTCTTATTAAAATCACCTTCGTAATAAATCTCTTCATCTTTTCTATCAGAACAATCGCGAAAACCATTACCAATGGCAACTGGTGATAAACATTTCTCATATTCCTTGAAACACTGAAATCGACGAGAATCATTTAATGAACAAGATAGAAATTCTTCGTCTTCATTGAAATAACAATCTTGATGACCATCTTGAACACGGTGATATGAAATACATTTTAATGATTTATTACAATGAAACTCATTTGAACTGTTACATGATAAATCAATACCTTTAGTTAAACATTGAACAGCAATCTTTTTCAAATGATATATTAGATTATCTAAATTATATATTGAACTATGTTCTTTTATAATCGATATATCAGTACAAGTTAAGTTATTAATCATGGTAATATTCATTATTATATTTGTTAATATCGGACATTTTTTAACGTTAAAACATAATAAAACAGGTTGAATGTAACTTTCAGATTTATTAACTGAATGATTAGTAAAATAGATAAATTGAAAACCAGACATAATTGGTTTTTCAGGAAAAGCTAACCATTGAGATGAACATTTATCTTTAAAAGATTCACAAATTTCAATTGGTCCACCAACTAATTAAATGATATAGAAAGAAATAGAAATATAATATAAAAACATTATACTTGCTTGTATTAAAATCGGAATGAATTTGACAATCAAATGTATTTCGACAATTTTCATCTTCAATATAATTAAGTGATTTGAATAATTGTTCATATATTTGTTTATTTCGATTATTTCGACAAAGACTTCGAATATCGATTCCATATGCATAATTATTATATTGACCATCTCCACATATAAATTTTTGAGGATATCGTGCAGTTCGTTCTTCACATCGAAATATTGGAAAACTAACACAATCCGTATTATATTGAGTTGGTAAACCAAGACCTGGATTTTGGAAAACATCACGTTCATCACTTCCATCTAAACAATCAGTATTAGTTGGACCTTCTAATACAAATTCTAAAGGAATACATTGACCATTATGACAACGATATTCATTTTCATTACATTCATTAGATTCTAATTCTTCACAAAATTTTTCATCTTCACCATTTGGACAATCAAATTTCTGATCACAAATCTCTCTCCAATCTAAACAAAATGGCCATAATTCTTGATTACAATTGTCAATGAAACGATAACATGTTCCATTAGTTAATAATGTATCTGAATTATAACGTCCTTCAAAAGTTTTATAAACAATTTCATTAAAAGTCATTGAATGATCGCATGGAAATGTATATTGGCATTCTTTACCAAACCATCCTGATGAACAATTTAATATCATACTTTCATTTTTATTCATTTCATATTCTTCTGCAATATCAATTGGTATTGACCAATTTAATAAATCGTTTCCATTTATATTCAATTCTTTTGGATTAATTTTTACATCTTTCGAATATTCTTCCTCAATTTCATAATCTGGTCGTCGACAGTACGGAATTAAATAATAATTACGAATGTAAGGTACTTTTGCCCCCCATTCTTCATCCATATCCCAAACAGTATAGAAACAATCATAAGATAAACGATTTTCATCATTTGTATGATACATTATATAATGAGAATCGATAAGATAATAGAAATTTAGAAATATGAATACATGTACAAAATACATTGTTAGAAAATGGCAATCTTCATACTTTTTTTCTTATATAGATTTTAGTAATTATAAAACATATTTTATGAAGAAAATAAAAGCGGATATATGAGCAGATGTTTATGTAATTAAATCACATTTCCTGATTATAATGTAGAACATGTTGAGTTTTATCAAAATCACAGAATTCAAACATTTGTTATTCACTTTTCAAGTTTTTACTTCTTTTCAAAGAAAACGTGACTTTCATGACATGGTTCAATAAATTTTAGTTTAGATAGTTGGGAATGATTTTAAACATAAGCAACGCTCGTCGGGTGATCGGTGTGAAGCTAGCACCACGAAACTAAGGATTTTCTGAAAATGAATTCCCGTTGATAGAACCTACTCTATTCGATGCAGAATTTAATTCTGAATCGCATGGTGACATTTTAATTCATGGGAAAACGTTCGGTATGGAGCTCACCTTGATTCTTATTTTTTCGCATATATACAGTGAAACCTCTCTATAGTGGACACCATTTGGACTGAAGCAAAGTGTTCACTATACAGAGGTGTCCGCTTTATAGAGGTGTAGCTGTTTTGCAAAATCAATATACATATATGAATGAAATCGATGTACTTCTGTATTACTACATAACTTTTCAAGAAAAAACGATAAATTAGAGCATTTATTACTATGTTTTATTGTTTCATTGAGAATAAGCGTAAGCGCTAACAAGAAAAGATAAATAAATAAATATAAAAACTCAACAAGAAGAGAAATAATCTTTAATAGAACTTTGTTTAATTGCTTTTGAATCGAGGTATACATCAATTAATTGTGATTCCAGTTCGTATAAAGCATTGTGCAACTGAGGCTGTTCGTGTATTGCATAAAGATGAATTGTTTTCACCATTCCTAAGATTTCCGCTATATTGGGTGACTTTTTAGTAACACTTGTTTCGTCTTCTTCTTGTTCGTTCTCATCTCCTTGAGAAATTTCAATCAGCTCCTTCAAATGTACGTCGTCATCCCATTCATTGAAAGCAGGAATCGATGAATCAATATCAACAAATTCAGCAGCTGTTAGCTGTTGACCACCAATTCGAACATGAGCTAGCAAAGCTTCAAGCTGTTCAAGTGAATCACCATGATTGACTAGTTGCACATTTGTTTGATCAGCAATATCAATATCAATATCGATTGTTGATAAAGACGTTAGTGACGAATCAATAAAACCAGCAGCTCGAAATCCACCTTGAATTGTGACATTCGTTACTGCTTTCCATGCTAAATCGATCCATTTAATTGCCTCTAAAACACTAATAGAAACTTGATCGATAGTTAGAGCGGTAGTACATTGAGAAATGATATGTCTGGCTAATTTTTGTCGGTAATAACATTTGAATGATTTTATAACACATCGATCTAACGGTTGACATTTGGAAGTAGTGTTTGGTGGAAAAAAGACTAATTTGATATTAGAAAAAGTTTCATCAACCATATGGCAAGGTGCATTGTCCAAAAATAGAATAATCTTACGAGCATTTCT